TAAAAATATGTTTAGTTTTATGAGGAACTGCCAAACTGTCTTCCAAAGTGGCTGCACCATTTTGCATTCCAATGAGCAATAAATGAGAGTTCATTTTGGTCCACATCCTAACCAACATTTAATGTCAGAGTTCTGGATTTTGGCCATTTTAATAGGTGTGTATCTCTTTGTTGTTTTGACTTGCAATTCTTTAATGATATGCTGTTGGACATGTTTTCATATGCTTGTTACCTAATCATCTTTTTTTGGTGAGGTATCTGTTCAAATCTTTTGCCCATATTTTAAATCAGGTTGTTCCTTTTCTTATTGTTGAATTCTAAGTGTTCTTTGTATAATTTGAATAACAGTCCTTTATCAGATGTATCTTTTGCAAATGTTTTCTCCTAGTCACTAGCTTGGTTTCTCATTCCTTTGACTAAAGTAATTTTAAGGAGTATAAGTATTAACATTTATGTATTAATCAACTGGATAAAAAATTTAAGGAGGACTAAATGTTGAACATAATGTAATATTTGATAAAATAGTTCATTTATCTGTATGATGCATAGTATTACTTATTGTGTTTCTCTTATGTTAGAGGTACTGTTACTCCTATAATTTAGTATAACCTTGCTATATTTAAAAAAGTTTTAAATTTATGTATAGATAAAGGTCATAGAAGTAAATTCAGTTTTAAGCAATAATATATCATAAATTTGCCTCAAACAATATATTAAATATTAAAACTCTGTTAAGGAAAATAGCACTTTCACAATTGCAATTAAACTGTTTAAATAGAAAGTTACCACCCCCAGGTGAAAGATAGATACAGCAATACCATGCTGTAAACATTGTTTTGAAAACATGCAATACATTGTTCACATAATTATATGCCATTATATGAGGAATAAGAATTAAATATTCTTCAAATAAACATTGAAACAAGCAACAAATATTTACTTAGCATAAAGTTTATTCACATGTATAAAAAATGTCTGTAATAGGAAATCCATTAAAGCCAAAATATAATCAAGCATGTAGGAAAAATGTATTCAAAAGCGAGTTGCTTTTTCCACATAATGAAAATTCTGGTAAGTACTGAGTTACCGTAAACTTTTAACTGTTAGGGAAACATTTTTAAACAACAACAAAAAAATGCTGAAGGAAATACAATACGGAAGGTTAAAGGTATCAATATATGTCAGATACGTTCCAAAATGCTACACAGGCAGGATTTACAAAAGAATCTAGTTTTTAAAAAATTACAGAAATTCTAGACATTCTTCTAGTAGTATAAATGCCACATACAATATTTCAAATCAACCAGTAACTAATACAAACTATTTCACATTCAGTTAGAATAAAAAGCAGTATGAATAATATGAAATTAAGCTTTCAAACAGCACTGACAAACTTCTTCTCATTAAAAAATTCACTTGTATGTATAGGAAAAGTACACATACACATAACTTATCTGAGAAATAGAAAAAAATTGTTAGAATTTTATAGGCAAACAGGAAACCAGATACTGAGAACACCATTGCTCTAGCTCTTAATTGTTCTGAGGATTTTCACTGAGTATTCACTCAGAGGGCATAATATTAATGGATGCAAAACTCTGACACATAGTTTGTGCTCTCTTTGATTTTTTTCATCTTAAAAAGAGAATATTCTGTGTAGAATTATCTATCCTATTGAAGGCAAAACCCCATAAATGTGTATTTGTCTTTTTCTAGTTTTATTCCTGGTGACTCAGATGATAAAGAATCTACCTGCAATGAGGAAGACCTGGTTTGATCCCTGGGTTGGGAAGATCCCTTGGAGAAGGAAATGGCAATCCACTCCAGTATTCTTGTCTGGAAAATCCCATGAACAGAGGAGCCTGGCAGGCTACAATCGGGGTCACAAAGAGTCGGACATGACTGTGTGACTTTCCCTTTTCTTTTCCCTTTTCATACCCATATTACATTCATTTCCTGATTGTAATAGAGGGGAAAACTGTCTAATCAACTATGAAGTTTTGTGTCAAGGTAGATTTAATGGTTAACACTAACCAGTTACTCAAGGAAGAAGCACAAACAAAAACAAATTAATCAAACCAAAAAACCCACTACCAAAAATACAACAGGAATAGAAAAGGGAGAATGGCACAGAAATACATGTCCATTAATATTAAAATATTAATAATTTTATATTAATATTTTCCTTTTAATTATCATAAATATTTGTTGGTTATGATTCTATCACATTTTCTGCTTTATATTTAAATTATTATGGATTGGATTCTCAACACTGGATTCTCTACAAACACCACTTATTTCATAATCATGATGAATTCCAGATTTGTTCAGGTTAGAGCAATAGTTTTACAGTAAGTGATGGCATATGACAAATCTATGCTGCTGCTGGGTGACGGGTTGTCACAGGCCCTGAAGCTGGATTTACAGCAAGATTTCTGGGAGTCAACTAGAGTAAACAAGTTCATGGAATATTTCAGATTGTGATTCAATAAAAGATAAACTGTAGCTTTTATTTTTATCAATCCTAAGAAACACATGTGTGAGAAAATACAGATATGTAATATATGCTCTTATATACATTTATGTATAAATAACAAATGTCTATACATTTCTCATACAGACTTAGCATTGTTTATACTTTATAATTTGAGACAATGTAATTCTATAGGTATAAAATGGGGCTGAGAAAAGTGTGCTTGCTCATTCTAAACCTAGCTCTTACCAACATGTTAGATTTGGGGCAAATTATTCTTGCATGCCTTAGAGTGATTGCTAAAATGATAAGAGTTTGCTTCCAATCTTTTTTTTTAATGTTTCCTAATTAGCCTCAGAACCAGCATTAGGTGCTTGCTTGCTTTATTTATTTACTGGCTGTGTGACACGTGCAATCTTAGTTCCCTGCCCAGGAATCAAACCCACGCCCCTTGCATTGCAAGTGCAGAGTCTTAACCACTAGGTCACCAGGGAAGTCCTGCCTCTGACCTTTTAAAGAGGATTAAAATAAGGGCAAAGTTACATGAGGAAAAGTGCTTATGTAAAGCCAATATATGACTAACAGTAAAAATTTTATAGGTTATGTAGGTGGCATTAAAAAGACCACTTTTCCTAATTGTATCTAAATGTTACTATGCATAAAATAGATAACTATTGAGAACACTGTAGGAGAACTCTACTTAATGTACTGTGGTTACCTGAAAGGGAAAGAAGTTCAAAAGGGAAGGGATACATATATATACGTATGTATGTATGGTTGACTCATATATAATATATATGGTTAACGAAACAACACAGTAAAGCAACTATAATACTCCAATAAAAATTAATTTAAAACAAAACCAAACACCAAACAACAACAACAAATTTTGCCAGATGATTTCTTTGCAACAAGTAACCAAAGAGACTCTGAAAATATCAAAGGTAAGGTCTTTAGCAGTTTGTAATGATTAAGATCGTTCATCTGCATTAAGATCACACTGTCTTAAAAGCGAGACATACACTCAAACACAGTGTACTATGATTTATACTTTTTCAGCATTTAATTTGGAAGGACCTACCAAATGCCTGTGAGTTTTAATCTCATCTCTCTAAAAATTATAAAACAAAATACAATTTTATAAATGGTACTACATAGAGAAAAGCAATGCCTGGCAAAAACATAAAGAACAGAATTTTCTATTTCTCAGGAGTATGTTAGTTTTTGAGTTCCTGCAAAGAGGAAACAAATTCACATACACATAAATTCAAATAAATTTGTGCACACACATTCATTTCAGAAGTTTATAGCTTATATTCTATTATGTTTGTAAGGGGAGATTGGTCACATACAGAATTAGAAGATACAAACTATAGGTCAAAAGTATTACTTATGATCTTCTGTGTCCAGACAGTAAAAGATACAAGGGATTGCTGGTAACTTTAATCAATATTATTTTGATAGCAGAAAAGTAAGTTACTTCTAGGTTCTCAAACTATTATTTATAAACTTTGACAAATTTTCCAGATTAATAGTTATGCATAGTCAGATACAGATAATTTAGCAATGAAAATAGGTATGTCTACTCATCGGTTAATATGCACAAATTTATCAAGCTCCACTCCTAGATTTGAGGCCTATAATTTACTTTGTGGTATAACAACCCTTCCAAATCCTTGCCATTGCAACCATGCTCCCACTGAAGAAGTAACTCCCTAGTGTTTATTTTTTAAAGTAAACTATTGACTGCCCCCCCCCCCATAATAAAGTATGCCTGATAGGAACAGTTCATGACTAAAATGTGCAAAATACAGTAAATGCTATGCAATAATTTAAGATAAAAAACTGATTTCATTAAGGTTATTGATTTATATTTACATGTCAGATTCTGTGAAGTATTTCCAACCAAAAAGAAATCCTAAAAAAGAGTAGATCCAATATTATAACTTGGAATAATCTAATAATTAGAAATTCTTTTTCTTTTTTTTTTAGTATTCAATACAATAAATCTATGGGGCTTTCCTGGTGGCTCAGACAGGAAAGAATCTGCAATGCAGGAGACCCTGGGTCGATCCCTGGATCTGGAAGAACCCCTGGAGAAGGGAATGGTTACCCACTCCAGTATTCTTGCCTGAAGAATTCCATGGACAGAGAAGCCTGGCAGACTACAGTCCATAGGTCGCAAAGAGTGGGACATAACTGAGCAACTAACACAACAACAAATCTACAACCCTTTTCTGTACAAAGGATACAGATGGTTCACCAGTTTTAGCTGTGACATCCATAACATTCTTTTGAACAGAACAATGCTCTCTTCTTCACTGCAAGGATACAAAATTCCTTATCCAGCTGATTATCCAATTGAGGTTAGAGATGCTGACAGAACTCCAGGGGCAGAGAACACACGCTCATTTCTCCTTACTCCCTACAGTTTGTCCTACACAGCTGAACTGACCTGTCTTTTTTGGTTCAGGGAAAAGAACCACTTAAATAATGTGAATGTCCTATATCACCAAGACAATGAGGGCTTAGTGAGATGGGAGTGACATAGACTTTTTAAATACCCTAAAATCATTTGCTGACCCAGGATAAGGTGGTGGTGGTGAAACACTCTGTTTTCTGGTCAATGCCACTGCCTGTTCATAAGAAGGTAATCCTGTATCTTCCAATGAAGGTGGCGATGGAGACAAGACAGCCTCCTCTGGTCTTCTGAAGATGATGGAAGGAGTGTGTCTGCCCCTTCTTACGTAGGCGTCTGAAGAACTAAATAGAGAGAGCATTGAGGTCTAGGAAAGGCAAAATTTTAGGCTAAGACAGCAATATTAAGAAATCCAACTATTTAGATCAAAGCTGAACCTTCTTTATTAATATAACAAGTTTTATTTTACCCATAAACTCTGAATGAGTCTTTGTTTAGTGGTTAAGACCAAGAGCTTTGAAGTCAGTCATGTGTATGAAACAGGATCCTGTCATTTCATAGCAATGTGACCAAAGGCAAGGTAACCTAACGTTTCTCCCTCTGTAAAATGGGAATAATAATAGCTATGTCAACAGAGGTGTTTTGTGTGGATTAAGAAAGATTATGTAAGGCATCTAAGCACAGTATGGAATACTGTAATGAGGACTCAAAACACATGAATTCTTTTTTTCTCCTATTCCTGAATTAAAATTTTCTCCAAGTATGGTGTTAAACCAAATCCAGGCTTTGTTGAAAGGTGCTACAACTCAAAGCTAAGGAAATTGATGCCACAGAGGTAATAATATCAGTGGATGCCCATCTCTCTCATGTTACCCCTGCAACCCTGCTGCCTGGTCCATCCCTCCTCAGTAGGGCTTCCATCCCTCCTCAGTAGGGCTTCCATCCCTCCTCAGTAGGGCTTCCATCCCATCATTCTTCTCCACAAAAGGCTAACTTGAAGTCCACTTTCTACTGAATCAACTTCCAACTCCTGTGCCTACTTTTCAAAGCCTCCCTTAATCTAGCCTTGCTTTATTTTATAGCTCTCTGGTCTTGCCAAGGTAGTGTCTTTACTCCCCATTGATCTCCACAGATCCAAGCCTAACAATTAGAAAAAAAAAACTTTTTAATTAAAAAAAAAAAAAGGCTTAGTTCAAGTTACACCATTTTCCACAGAACTTTGTCACCTACACCAGCCAATGAAAACTGAAATGCAATACCAGTCTGGTGTTCCAAAACTATATTTCCCCTTCTCACTTGTGAATTACAAATTATAATTTAAAGATAAGTAAACTGATCCATTTAGACTATGAAGTTGGCTGTCTATGAAGCATCTATGCAGAAATTAACCTCCTATAGTATGGTTAATAAGATAATTAAAATATATAGATAATCCCGAACCTGTAGTCGATATTTATAATAGTATTCTTCCTAATAAGAGTTTAGCAGACCCAAAATACTGTACTCTTCTGCAAACTAAATTAATATCAACTTGCCTCATAGAATACCTTTGCTGTTGGAAGTTATAATGAGATATGAAATTGAAAGGAAAGAGAGGAAAATAGCAGAGAGAGAAGAAAAGAAAAAGGTCTATGTAAATCGAGGAATTGGATAATCTGCCCTTCAATAGCTGAGAGGTGACTGAGAGCCTCAGAAGTTTACTTAGAGGGCTCAATACAATTCCTCCTCTGTCGGAAATCTGGAATGTACGCATGGTAGGATTGTCACTTGCCACATTCATTGGCTTGTGATGAAAAGTACTACTTGTTTGCTTATAGGAAACAGGAGAGACAGATGTTTTACTTGAAGAAATAAATTTTTCCACGTTGACCTTCAAAATCTATTACAGGAACAGTATAATAATATTAAAGTCATTAAGTGTTTTCACAGTGATTTCTTACATATACCTTACATGACTGAAATCAGAAAGCACACACCAAGAACATCTCGGATAAGCTGACAACATTATATTATGCCTATTTTCCTCCGTAAAATATAGGGACTAAGAAATGAAAAGATCTTGCTTCCCATTTCTTGGCATGTTTTTACAAAAAAATGAGACAAACTATTCTAACAATGATCTCATTTTTTACTCTTTTCTTTTTCAAAATATTCCTCACCCTTCCCCCACTTCCTTGCAAAATGTAGAAAGAGAACATGTAACTGTTGGAAAAATTTCTTGGGACAATTGATAAAAAGTACTTCAGTCAGTTAGTAAGTATTTAAAAGTTAATCTTAACACAAAGGAATGTCTGGTTAACCTAGTTTGAAATGTCCCCTATAAAGGGTTGCTCTGAGAATCAAAGTGAGACAGCAGATGTAAAAATGACCTGTAAATGGGACAGCATTCTACTGTACTGAGTATAACTAATCTTACTTTTAAAATAAGAGATATCTGGGTTTTCAAAATTTAATAATAACATACACAAAAAACATGCATAATAATGGCACCTCTTTATGCCATGCTTTGAATTCTGCTTCTAAACTCATGCAGGAAAGAAGCTAGAAGGCTTCAGAGGAAAAAAAAAAAAGGCATAAGGTAAGAAGGTGTAGCGGTGAAGAAAAGCAGAGAAATGGAAAAAAAATACGAAAGAGAAGAGAACGATGTTGAGCATGACGCTGGACAATGGCTCTGTTCACAGATCTTCAGGGAAATTATTAAATACTGAGGGCATACACATGGACTTTGGGGGAAAATATGTAAATGAGATAGAAAAGAAGGAAAGATAAAAGACAAGGATAAAAGATAAAAGACAAGGAGAGTTTTTAAATATAAATATTCCAATTTCTTCATTAACCCATGGATTTCCAGGTATCCTGCAGCTTGTGGAGAAAGCCATATGAAATAAGATCTTAGTCAAAAGCCCTTGAAAATGGTAAGAACTGCTGATTTCCTGTCTGTTAAGTAGGTGAAATTAATAGAAACCTCAGTTTAAAGATAGTGGCTTAAGAAAAATTACACAAAATTTTCCTTACTTTCTTTCACTTTTCAAACTTTTCGAGGAGTTATAGGACTCTCAGACAATCTCCTTAGTTCCTGCCCAAGATCACATAATGCCTCAGGGGACTGTTAGGAATTCCAGCTGGGGGATAGAATTGCACTTTACATTGCCCCTGTCCTCTGCCCCCCTGTTGCTGGCATGTCCTCCTCTGCAAGGGCTTCCCAGGAAGATCAGTGGTAAACAATCTGCCTGCAACGCAGAGGACATGAGTTCAATCCGTGGGTTGGAAGGATTCCCTGGAGAAGGAAATGGCAACTCACTCCACTATGCCTGCTTGAGAAATCCCATGGACAGAGGAACCTGGTGGGCTACAGTCCATGGGGTCCCAAAAGAGCTGGACACAGCTAAGAGGCTAAAACAACAGCAACAACCAACTTCCTCTGCACTCTTACTACGGGCCTCCTTTCAGACTTGCCTCTGCCCTCGTCTCTGTCCTTTCATCACACTCAGAAAACTTACCTACTTTCATGGCTTCAACTTTTATCTTCCAATGGATTTATCCTAATTCCACCTCTATTGCCCTAAACTCTTATCTTAACAATAAAGAAAAAATTTTAATTATGGTAAAATATGCAGAACATAAAATTTGTCATTATAACCATTTTCAGGTGTACAATTAATGGTATTAATTATATTCACAATGTTGTACAGCCATCATCACTATTTCCATAATCGTTTTATCACCTGGTCAATAATGAGCGTCTTTGTAGAATTTGGAACCATAAACAGGGTAAATAAGGATATAGAAGAAATAATTCTGATTGCCTGTTTCGCATGTGCTGCTTTTTTTTTAAAAAATAAGGTAGTTCTACACTTTTATCTATACTTACAGATAAGAATATGAATGATAATAACTTTTTACTCTAATGATGTTGAGATTTATTATACAAACAATTATGGCCTTTAAGAAGCTTTACTAATATGCTGGAATTCAGTTAATAGCAATCTATTAACATTGGCTTGTATTATCATGTCCAACTCTTTGTGACCCCATGGATGGGAGCCCACCAGTCTTCTGTCCATTGAATCTTCCAGGCAAGAACACTGGAAGTGGCTACCCATTCCCTTCTCCAGGGGAATCTTCCTAATCTAGGGATTGAACCCAGGTTTCCTGCATTGCAGGCATTCTTTACATCTGAGCCCCCAGGGAAGCCCAAAGTTGGCTTGTCAGTTTTGCAAATGTAATACGGTAATATGAGAGGTTAACAGCGAAGGATCTGGTGAAGGATACATAGGAACTCTCTGTGCCCTCTTTGCAACTTTCCTGTGTATTTGAAATTATTGCAAAATAAAAAACAGACTTCAAAATATAGGCAATCATTTTTTTAGCCATTTAAAAATAACAGTATAGAAAGTATACTAGTATAGAAAGTAAATTAAATATTTTCACTTGATACTTACCCTGGATACTGTTGCCTGTGACACTTGGTGATACAAAGATAGTAACCAACTAATCCCAAAATAACCAAAAATACTCCAGCAGCAATTAATCCAGTCAGAAGGCCCATAACGTCGATTTTCTCTCTGTTAGCATCTTAAGAGAAATCATTAAACTAACATAAATATAACAACTGAAAAGCACCGTCTATGATTTCAATAAATTTAACATTGAGTGTAAGCACATTATTAAGCATCTAATAATTAACATTGGTTACTTTTAAAAGTCTGTGCCAGAGACATGACCAGAAAAAAAAAAAAAGAAAAAAAGATATACTTCCTAAAAGCCCTAGGTATGGCTTTATTTATTTTTATTATTTTAATCAAAATTATTTATTCATTTTGGCTGTGCTGGGTCTTAGTCGTGGTATGTGGGATCTAGATCCCTGACCAGGGATGGAACCCGGGTTCCCTGCATTGGGAGTTCAGAGACTTAGCCACTGGACCAACAGGGGAAGTCCCTGATTTATTTTAAATGTCAAGACTAAGTGGGATAAACATATTCTTTGTTCAACTATACACATTCTGATATTAACTACTGACAGAAATTTACTAAGCAACTCCAGAGTAGCTATGTAATATAGTGTCCCTACAGCTGGACCCTGCCTAGAAGGAATAAAAAAAATCACTGGCAAAACCAAAACAAACCTGACTAAAAAGCAGCTAGAGATGATCAATGCAGATAAGACAAAGGATCTCCCCTCTTTAGAAGTTACTTGATTCTATCTAACAATCTTAATTTACTTAGTAGCACAAGTATTCCATTCACTTGTAATGGTAAAAAAAGAAAAAAAATTAAAATAGCTTACTACTTGAAAGTAACAGTCTTACTTTTATTCTGTGCAAGTCCTGACTTAGCCGAGTTGTTTAAAAGAGTGAATTAAGCCTATTATCTCATTTCCCTAGTATCTCACCAAACTTGATTTTCAGTGTATAAACAGATGAATGCGGCCTTTTCTGTCTTAGATAGCCCTGTGTATAATTGAGAAATCTTCCCCGGATTTACAAGGTATGTATGTTGTGCAACAACCAATCTCAAACAATGAAACTAAAAATGTACTATGATAGAGGGTGGGGAAAAAAACATTAAAATTGATTCATTCTTGCCTTACCTGATTTTGTGGTTGGTCCTCTAACTGAATATTCTTGCCAAAATTTCTTCTAAAAGAAAGGTAAAAATTTCCAAGTTTATTTAATTTCTTTAAGGTCATTTCATTTGGTCTCAAGGACCTAGACTAGGGGTGATAAACACTTGGCATGTGCCACAGGTTGGACACCAGTTCATTCATGCTGGAGCAAGTGACTCACTCTACTAAATAATTAAAGCATTGCCACCCACCACCATTTCTTCCAACTCTGAAATTGGCCAGGGATTTATTGCTAGTGCCAGCTCTTTACCACTGGATCCTGATATTTCTTCCTTCATTGGCCCAGGGCCCTCACTCAGATATCCAGGGACACTATCAAATTATAGAGTTGATGAAAACAGTAGAGGTGGAAGCTGAAGCAGAGGACTCATGATCGTGTTTGAAAAGGAGTCTGACTTTTTTCTACACTAGGTGAGCCTTCAGTTTGCTAGGAGATTTTCATAGGTTTTTAAAAAATTTTTATTTTTGGCTGTGCTGGGTCTATGTTGTCTGCAGGCAGGTTTTCTCTAGCTGTGGCAATCAGCAGCTACTCTCTAGTTGCAGCGCGAGGGCTTTTCATTGTGGTGTCTTCTCTTGTTGCGGAGCACAGACTCTGTAGTTGTGACACAGTTCGTTGCCCCGAGGCACGTGGGATCTTCTGGGGCCAGGGATCTAACCCGTGTCCTCTGCATTGGCAGGCAGGCAGGCTTTCAACCACTGGACCACCAGGGAAGCCCTTGCTCAGAGATTTTATTAAAAGGTATTTATTTACTGATTTGGAAAGACATCCCTGAGACTTTTTTTTTTTTTTTTTATCCCTGAGACTTTTTAAGTTCAGTGTTACTTGAGAGAATGGAAGCCGTTTTTCAGGAACGGTGGTAAAACTAGAAAATGGGTTTGTGAGAAACAGAACAGAATTTCAACAGACAACTACAAGGCAGAGCAGTCTTTGCTTCCTTTTTCTAAGAGACGCAGCAGATAACAGCCGCAACGGGAGGCTGGGGACAATTTGGAAAGAAAAAGAGCTAAGTTTCAGTAACACCTTCATTTGAAGAATACCGAGAGAGGTTCGTATTGACTAAAGAGTAAAATGGGATTCTTGAGTAAGGGGAAAATGAGCTGGGGTTATTGAAGCTTGGGGTTATTTACAAAAGTAAAGAATCTGGGTCACTTGATAGTCTTAAAGAATATGCCAGATTATAACAGGGAAGGTTCTGGCTATTTGTTTTGTACTTTTCAGGATTAACAGACGGAAGTTAATTATATTTTAAGGGAGAAATTCTAAAAGTTTATTGCCAAGCAATAAACTCCTGAATGCAGGGAATATATATTTTATCCTCAGTTTCTAGGGGAGCATATGACACATAGTAGATTGTCAATAAGTACTTGAAATATAAATATAGTCATCAAAAAGCTAAGTCTTGATAGGAAAAATTTCTCTTGAGTTTTGACTGACTGAAGCCTGAATCAGAGAGCTAACTCAATATCCTGCAGTTTAATTCACTGTGCTTCAAGACTGTCTTTGAGTGTCATAAATGTTAAACACAAAATTATAACATAATTGATAATTTGCTAATTACTGTAAACCCAGGGAAGTATAAAGTAAAATCTAAATGGGTTAATTAGCATTTTAAGAAAGTAGAAAGAGATAACAGGTATACAATCCTAATTTTATTTAAGGCATATAATTTCTAATGCCTAAAAGTACCACTTTTTAAAGTACAATTTAATAAACGTCTAGCCAATTAACATCATCAACAGAATTACCGTTTTATCTTCATCCACAAAAATCTCTCTGGCTTCCTCATAATTACAAAGTTCTTCTGTGCATTCTCTTTCTAGGTCACCGGGAGTGAAGAGCTCCAAATCAAATCTATTATATAGGAGGTGTCTATGTATGAACAGGTTTGCTTCTTCTTTTGATGTAAAAACTAACAAAGAAATAGAAAGATTGCAAACATTGATAAAAATAAGGCAGAAAATTCCTGTTTTAATTATGGGAAGAGCACATAGTTCCTTTGATGTGGTTAAATTACACCCAACTTTCTTCTGTGGTTTTAAAATCTGACAAAAAGAAATATCATCAGTAAAAATAATTCCTGCTAAAGATGAAATACAGATATTAATCAAATTCCAGGACATACTTGAGTAGATTATGTCCAAAGTTATCAGCATAAGTGAAAAAAAAATTGAGTTTCATTTTTTCCTCTAGACAATTATTTTTCCAATAAATGACAGGCCAGTCTATGCTATTTCTAAAGCACTGGTTTCCTGTTATTTTGACTGAGAAAAATTAGTCTGGTGTAGTGGCAGAGTGTTAGACACAGAAGACACAGATTTTTCTTTTCTGATTTGGCTTAGCTATCAGCTGTATATCCTGGGATAAGTCACTTACATCTCTGGGTTGCCATTTCCTAAATCACTTTTTTTTTGGCAGTGCTGTGTGGCATGCAGGATCTTAGTTCCCAACCAGGACCCATGACGCCTGCATTAGTAGCACAGAGTCCTGACCAAGACTGCTGGACCACCAAGCAGTCCCAGGTGTGAGTCTTAACAGAGCTATTTTGTCCAATATAGCAGCTACTAGTCACATATGGTATAGAGAACCTGAAATGTGGCTAGTGGGAATTGAATGTGCTGTAAGTGTAGAATTCAGACTTAAATTGAAGACAGTGGGGAAAACCACTGGACCATTCAGGTATGACCTAAATCAAATCCCTTATGATTATACAGTGGAAGTGAGAAATAGATTTAAGGGACTAGATTTGATAGAGTGCCTGATGAACTATGGACAGAGGTTCGTTAACATTGTATAGGAGACAGGGATCAAAACCATCCCCAAGAAAAAGAAATGCAAAAAAGCAAAATGGCTGTCTGAGGAGGCCTTACAAATAGCTCTGAAAAGAAGAGAAGCAAAAAGCAAAGAAGAAAAGGAAAGATATAACCATTTGAATGCAGAGTCCCAAAGAATAGCAAGGAGAGGTAAGAAAGCCTTCCTCAGTGATCAGTGCAAAGAAATAGAGGAAAACAATAGAATGGGAAAGACTAGAGCTCTCTTCAAGAAAATTAGAGATACCAAGGGAATATTTCATGCAAAGATGGTCACAATAAAGGACAGAAATGGTATGGATCTACCAGAAGCAGAAGATATTAAGAGGTGGCAAGAATACGCAGAAGAACTTTACAAAAAAGATCTTTACAACCCAGATAATCACTCACCTAGAGCCAGACATCCTGGAATGTGCCTTAGGGAAGCATCACTACGAACAAAGCTAGTGGAGGGGATAGAATTCCAGTTGAGCTATTTCAAATCCTAAAAGATGATGCTGTGAAAGTGCTGCACTCAATATGCCAGCAAATTTGGAAAACTCAGCAGTGGCCACAGGACTGGAAAAGGTCAGTTTTCATTCCCACCCCAAAGAAAGGCAATCTGAAAGAATGCTCAAATTACCGCACAATTGCACTCATCTCACACGCTAGTAAAGTAATGTTCAAAATTCTCCAAGCCAGACTTCAGCAATACGTGAACCTAGAACTTACAGATGTTCAAGCTGGTTTTAGAAAGGCAGAGGAACCAGAGATCAAATTGCCAACATCTGCTGGATCATTAAAAAAGCAAGAGAGTTCCAGAAAAACATCTATTTCTGCTTTATTGACTATGCCAAAGCCTTTGACTGTGTGGATCACAATAAACTGTGGAAAATTCTGAAAGAGAGGGAAATACCAGACTACCTGACCTGCCTTTTGAGAAACCTGTATGCAGGTCAGGAAGCAACAGTTAGAACTGGACATGGAACAACAGACTGGTTCCAAATAGGGAAAGGAGTACATCAAGGCTGTATACTGTCACCCTGCTTATTTAACTTATATGCAGAGTATATCATGAGAAACGCTGGGCTGGATGAAGCACAAGCTGGAATCAAGATTGCCAAGAGAAATATCAATAAGCTCAGCTATGCAGATGACACCACCCTTATAGAAGAAAGTGAAGAACTAAAAAGCCTCTTGATGAAAGTGAAAGAGGAGCGTGAAAAAGTTGGCTTAAAACTCAACATTCAGAAAACTAAGATCATGGCCTCTGGTCCCATCACTTCATGGCCAATAGATGAGGAAACAGTGGCTGACTTTATTTTGGGGGCTCCAAAATCACTGCAGATGGTGATTACAAATAGTGATTTAATTATGAAATTAAAAGATGCTTGCTCCCTGGAAGGAAAGTTATGACCAACCTAGACAGGATATTAGAAAGCAGAGACATTACTTTGTCAACAAAGGTCCATCTAGTCAAGGCTATGGTTTTTCCAGTAGTCATGTATGGATGTGAGAATTGGACTATAAAGAAAGTTGAGCACCAAAGAATTGATGCTTTTGAACGGTGGTGTTGGAGGAGACTCTTGAGTCCCTTGGACTGCAAGGAGATCCAAACAGTCCATCCTAAAGGAGATCAGTCCTGGGTGTTCACTGGAACGACTGATGTTGAAGCTCAAACTCCAATACTTTGGCCACCTGATATGAAGAGCTGACTCACTTGAAAAGACCCTGATGCTGGGAAAGATTGAAGGCAGGAGGAGAAGGGGATGACAGAGGATGAGATGGTTGGATGGCATCTCTGACTCAATGGAGATGAGTTTGAGTAGACTCCGAGATTTGGTGATAGACAGGGAGGCCTGGTGTGCTGTGGTCCACGGGGTCATAGAGAGTCGGACACGACTGAGCGACTGAATTGAACTGAACACTAAGTATAAAAGAGACTTCAAAGACATGGTTAAGAAAAATGTAAAGTATCTCAGTGTTTTCTATTGCTTATATTTGTAATATTAGGTTAAATATTTGGAATATATTGGGTTAAATTAAATACTTTATCAAAATTAATTGCACCTATTTCTTTTTACTTTTTAAAATGTGGCTACTAGAAAATTTTAAATTATTTACATGGTGCACATACTATTTCTATTGGCCAGTGCTATTCTAGCAGCTTCATTTCTATTTTATAAACAAGATTGATGAGCTATTTGAACCAAGGAGGGGAGCCAGAATGGGTTCATTAGTGCTAATTGTTTTGAGAAATATTCTAAAAAGGTAGACCATTCTGTCCTGTGACAAAATGTTGGCTCTTTCCTCCTCTTTGTTCTTGTGGATTTTACGCAACCATGAAACAGAATGAAAAATTTTCCAAGTCGCCATCATTTCTCATTGGGATTCTTATAATGGCCGTCTAAGTCATCCTCCTGTCCATGACAGCGACAGTACATTTCCAATGTGCCTGGATCTCTCCTGCCTTTGAGCTTGCTTTCCACTGAATAGAACTTTCCTCTTTCAGTCTGCATTCTCACTTCCTTCCACATTTTTGTTCAGTGTTACCTTGAACCCCATCCCTATTCACCCACCTCTGGCAATCCCCATCCCACACTGTGTTTTTCTTTATGGCACTTTCCATCTAGTGTTCTATATGCTTTATTTACTTATCTGTTACAACTCTGTTCCCCTAGCTAGAAGGAAAATCCCATTAAAGCAGGGATGTTGACACATAGAGGTGCGCCCCAAATTACTTACAATAATAAATGAATGAACTTGACTTTCCTCTTGGACCTAATTTCTCGGAGTTGAGGCAATTCAGAGTCATGGTCTGTTACTCAGCTTGACACAGGTTTATAATATTAAACCAGAGATGAAGTAACTTTGAGTCTGTTTAACTTAGCTGTACTGTATGTACTTACAATACGTAAAATCTGATTTCAGAACGGAGAATTAGAAATCTGCCTCTGTATTGCTACTTCTCAGATATGCCCAGATCTTTACATTTTACTGGCTAGAAAAGCAGTGCCAAATTTCTCATGTTGGCCTCCTGTTATCTGAGTTACAAAACACCCCTGACCTCCAATGGGACCTTCAACTTAAAAGGAAAATAAAAAAGTGAGTCACAAACACTTTTATTGTTCCTGAAGTGATATTTATGCCAACGAAAGTCTTGACTGTTGTATAAAACATGCCTCCTGGGAGGGACTGCTGTCCAGCACTTCCCTGAGTTTGAAAGTTCTAATTCAGTCCATGGTCCATCTTTAGAGCTTCAATGCCTTATCAAACTTCTTGCCTCCCTTATGATCTCAGGAGAAATACTGTCCTTTGTTGGTTGGGTTCTAAGTAGCCTGGATTTGCTTTTAATTAAAAGAGGCAAACTTTCCTGCCCCTGGAGCATCCTGAACTTGCAGCAAGAGTTCCTGTTTTCCCTCTGGCCACTGCCCCAGGATACACTGGCCTTTGCACTTTTGTGTCTGCTGCCTCAGATTATCTTCTCATCTTTATTTCTCCTGTCTTAGCTTCCCTGGTGGCTCAGAGGTTAAAGCGCCCGCCTGCAACATGAGAGACCTGGGTTCGATCCCTAGGTCAGGAAGATCTCCTGGAGAAGGAAATGGCAACCCACTCCAGTATTCTTGCCTAGAGAATCCCATGGACGGAGGAGCCTGGTGGGCTACAGTCCACTGGGTCGCAAAGAGTCGGACACAACTGAGCGACTTCACTCACTTCACTCACTCACTCACTCAGACCATCCTAAGAGGCTCTCTATTCTCTTGTTTTAAACCACCAACTGAGATAGTCTATTCTCCTCCTTTCTCCTGTCTCTTCATGCTTTCTAAATAAATTCTCTTTGAGTCATTTAAATCCCACTTCTCGGCTTTATCAGAACACAACTGAAGGTCCTTTATTTCCCTAGTTACTTTTCATATCTCCATTTGTTATTTCTCATGTGCAGAGAGCACTGGCTTCTGTGCTATACAACTCTCCAGAGACATAGCTACTATGCTAACTAATACCTAACGAATACTAATGCTAACTAATACTGCTAACCAATACCTCTGCTCTTGAACTCTCTACTTCTGTCATAGAGTTTATGGAGATTATCAGTTTACACCCTGCCTCGCCTACTAGATGAAGCAGTCCACGTGGACTTCCAAGCAAGAATACTGGAGTAGGTTGCCATTTCCTTCCCCAGGAGATCTTCCTGACCTGGAGATCAAACCCAGGTCTCCTGCACTACAGGCAGACTCTTTTTTTTTTTTTCCATTAAAAAAAATTATTTATTTTTTAATTGAAGGATAATTGCTTTACAGAATTTTGTTTCTGTCAGACCTCAACATGAATCAGCCATAGGTATACATATGCCCCCTCCGTCTTGAACTTCCCTCCCAGCTCCCTCCCAATCCCACCCTTCTAGGTTGATACAGAGACCCTGTTTGAGTTCCTGCAGGCAGATTCTTTACCAACTGAACCACCAGAGAAGCCTTTTAAATACACATACTTCCTCATTTACATTTCCCACAGATATCTCCAGCCTTCTGCACTCAAGTATGATCTCTAAATTCCTTCCATAGTTTATGATTGTCCTGGAGAGTATCTTTTATGCCTATATCTTGTGAATGAACGAATGTACTCATAAACATTCTGGACCCAGCATCTGGTCCCACTGAGAATGGATCATCAACCTTATATATGAATGGACTTACATATACGGTACAACGTGGAAGGCACCAAGAAGGATCTCCTTGCAAATCTCTGTTCCACTAACTACCTTATCCAGTTGCTTAGGATCCTGTGGTCAGTGTTTGATTCCTTAAGGTTAAGATATTGCTCTATTTTAACACACACACAGTCTCCTAGAAGGCTTGAAACATTAAACTGTATTAACCATTATTAGCGTTATGATTGGGAGTTTTAGTGTAACAGATCCTCCTCAAAAGAGAATGAGAGTAGGACCTGATGAGAATGAATGTGGGACAGATATGTGTGGGGAGGTGGATCCAAAGCATTGGCACCAGGTAGGGAAGCACAGCGATTTGGCAGGGAGAAATGAAAGCCAAGTTTTTTTCTTTCCTGTGTTTTCTAGGTTAGGCTTTCAGAATGTGGGCAGGAATCTGTTTATGATCTGGAGACCACAAGGTGTGCAATTCTAGGTTCAGTTCAGTCGCTCAGTTGTATCCGACTCTTTGCCACCCCGTGAATCGCAGCACGCCAGGCCTCCCTGTCCATCACCAACTCCCGGAGTTTACTCAAACTCATGTCCATCGAGTCAGTGATGCCATCCAGCCATCTCATCCTCTGTCGTCCCCTTCTCCTCCTGCCCCCAGTCCCTCCCAGCATCAGGGAGGGATCTTTTCCAATGAGGGTCTTTCCCTCAGGGTCTTTTCCAATGAGTCAACTCTTCGAATGAGGTGGCCAAAGTATTAGAGTTTCAGCTTCAGCATCAGTCCTTCCGATGAACACCCAGGACTGATCTCCTTTATGATGGACTGGTAGGATCTCCTTGCAGTCCAAGGGACTCTCAAGTAGCAAGCCCCAAACCTAATCTCACACCATCTAACTTTACCCAGATAATCAGACATTTAAAAGTATAAAAGGACCTTAGAGATCACTCCACTCCTCACTCCCTCATCATTTTAAAAGCTGAAAGGGGGTTAAGTAACTTGCCCAGAGTCTGCTAACAAATCCAGACTAGGTCGGGGACTCCTTGTCCTTCTTTCCAGGAAGAACAACTAACTATGCTCATCAGAATTACCACACGGCCTCATCTAGAAAAATGGCACTCACTTATTTTCAGAAGTTGAAACAGTTTTTCCATTCAGTTAACTACCAACCTGGTCTTAAATACATATTTACAAAAGTAACTCTCAGAAATAAAAATCGCAGTTAACAAACCACAACATTACCAAATAAACCACAAATTAAAGCGCATCTTAGCGCTTCTACGATTGATGAGGGGCATGTAATCTCAAAGACTGCACTTTCCCGTTTGAGCCCTGGAACACAGGCGCGGGTTTTCAGCACGGTTTTCTTGGGATCTGCAGCCAGGCTTACCTTCTTCTCTCGCAGGCCTGGACTCCTCCGGACTTCGTGTGCAATGAGGAAACGCGAAGGTAACTGCGGGCAGTTGGCTGAGTAGCACCAGGAGTGGAAACATAGTGCGGCAACTGTCAAACAAACTGAAACAAAACCAACCAACCAAAAACACAGGTCAGAAGTGCCCCCAGCTCAGCAGTTTAAATTCCTACGGGGACGAGTCACCGACCTGTTGTGCTCAAAGTCATCGCGTGACTGCGCCCCGCGCGCGGTTTCGGTCGCCAGGGTCCGACCCGCGCCCGGAAAGCGGCCCCGAGAGCTCCGGGGGACAAATGCCGCCTCCCCTCCATCCACCCGCCCACCATCCCTGTCCCCACCTTCCCAGCCCCCGCCCTCCGGACTCTGCGGCCGGCTGAGCCGGCGCCTGTCGCCGCGGCGACCCTCTGCGTTGTAATCGGACCCGGTCCGCCGAGGAGGCCCCCTCCCAGCCACCCATTCCCTGCCGGGGCCGAGCCTCCGGGCCCCCGCACCTGCAGCTCCGGGCGCATGTTCCAGCAACAGCCGGGCCGGAGTCCCGTGCTTTGGTCGTCCCTGCGGCCGCCAGACCCTCGGTCTCGGCGCCCCCCGAATCCGCGCCTTGCTCTCCGCAGGACGGGAAGGGTCCCCTCACTCGGGCCGAGAAAGAGCCTGGGGTTCGCGGAGGGGGCGCCCTGGCCGGCTCCGGGACGCGCTGCGCGAGTCCTGCCTGGATCCCGGGAGGCCGCAGAGTAGAGCGGTGAGAACCGAGAAGGCAGCTACCTGGGAGCACCTGGCCGCGCTCCTCCCCGCGGGGGCCGGCGCACCTGCGGCGGGCGGGCGGTTGGCTGGCGTCTCCAGAAGCCTCGCCTCGCAGCCGCCGCCACCTCTTTCTGCGCTAAGCCCTGGGCGAGTCCTGCCGCCTGCAGCCAGTTCTGGCCCCGCCTTGGCGCGCGGGTGGCGGGTTTGGGACTGGTTTCTAGACCCCGCGTCCTCCGCCGCCGACTCTCGGCAGCGTGAGTTCATCTCATCTCCCAGCGCTAAACAGAAACCACCTGCTGAACCCTCCCCTCGCCCTGGGGCGTCCGGGGATTTTCGATTTGGGTTTCACTAGGCGACGAGCTCCATCTTAAGATCTTAGATCTCAAAGGGTGGTACGCGAAGGAGAATAAAATCTTTATCAGAGCATATTAAATGGGAAGTGACCTTAAAAATTAATTGATTACATTTGTTTTCAAATCGTGGTCCGCCAGGTCTGGGCCATCTTCAAGATCTTTTCAGGGGGTCTCCCTGGTCAAAACTATTTGCTTTATGGTACAAAGACGTAATTTGCCTTTTTCGCTGTGACTGTCTCCTTAATGTACAGCGGAAATTTCCAGAGGCCATTCGACGTGTAACGATGTCATCACCCAGCTGATAGAGTGCTTGCATATGTTTGTGGTTTCCATTATTTTCTATGGTAGTAGATTTAAGTATCAGCATGTACGTTTTTTTAATAGAGATTAATAAAATTTGCCTGTTCTTAGTTTTTTGTTTTTTCCTGTACTTTTATTAGCTAGCTTTAGTCATACTTGGCAGGATAGCTATAACCTCATTAAAAAAAAATAAATCTGAAATTTATAAATAAATAATGTATATATTTTATTTATATATAAAATAAATAAGTCTGAAATTTTGAGCCTATGCAGAAATATAACCAAAAGTAAGTACAATTTGTTGTCTTGATTTGAAATAAGATTACGAAAATTTCTCAGTTTAACAGATAATATGATAAATAACAGGGCTTCCCAGTAGCTCAGCTGGTAAAGAATCCGCCTATAATTCAGGAGACCCCTGTTCAATTCCTGGGTCAGGAAGATTCCCTGGAGAAGGGATAGGCTACCCTCTCCAGTATTTTTGGGCTTCCCTGGCAGCTCAAACAGTAAAGAATCCACCTGCAATGGGGAGACCTGGATTCGATCCCTCGGTTGGGAAGATCCCCTGAAGGAGGGCATGGCAACCCACTTCAGTATTCTTGCCTGGAGAATCCCGTGGACAGAGGAGCCTGGCGGGCTACAGATTATGGAATCCCAAAGAGTGGGACACCACTAACTGACTAAACACAGCATAGCGTGGTATATATCATTAGATATAATTCATGTAAGTAAGAGCTCTCTGGAGATCCTTAATAATGTTAAAAAATGTGCAGAGGTCCTGAGACCAAAGAGTTTGAGAATTACCACCTCAAGTGATGAAGGCAGCAGGTGGACAGAGCACATATTTGTGTTCACATTACTGCCTTGTCCAAACAACACTTATAACAACTCTTTAAAACATTATTTAAGGTTCCATGCTTTGGCTAAAGTGGCTCAACACTTGGTAGAAGCCAGAAGAAATGTTTTTTCCCCCTTTCTAATTGTTGATTAATTCAATTTCCACCAAATTTTATTTTTTTCCCGCAAAGGTAATTGCCTACTCTATTCTAAATATTTAGAATCAACTGAGTTCTTTCTGTTTTCTGCAGAAATTTTGTCTTCACTGATTCCTTCTCAGTTCAGTTCAGTTCAGTCACTCAGTCGTGTCCGACTCTTTGTGACCCCATGGACTGCAGCATGCCAGGCCTCCCTGTCCATCACCAACTCCCAGAGTTTACTCAAACTCATGTCCATTGAGCTGGTGATGCCATCCAACCATCTCAACCTCTGTCATCCCCTTTGCCTGCCTTCAATCTTTCCCAGCATCAGGGTCTTTTCAAATGAGTCAGCTCTTCGCATCAGGTGGCCAAATATTGGAGTTTCAGCTTCAACATGAGTCCTTCAAATGAACACTCAGGACCGATCTCCTTTAGGATGGACTGGTTGGATCTCCTTGCAGTCCAAGACTCTCAAGAGTCTTCTCCAACACCACAGTTTAAAAACATCAGTTCTTTGGCACTCAGCTTTCTTTATAGTCCAACTCTCACATCCATACATGACTACTGGAAAAAACATAGCCTTGACTAGACTGACCTTTGTTGGCAAAGTAATGTCTCTGCTTTTTAATATGCTGTCTAGGTTGGTCATAACTTTCCTTCCAAGGAGTAAGCCTCTTTTTATTTCATGGCTGCAGTCACCATCTGCAGTGATTTTGGAGCCCCCCCCCCCCAAATAAAGTCAGCCTCTGTTTCCACTGATTCCTTCCAGACAGTGCTTTTTGCTTTTTCTTTTTCCTTCTCCCAGTCTTTCCTCGATTTCCACCTTGTTCTTTAAACTGTTTCTATGATTGATATCTCCTCAATCCTTTTATTGTTCGTAAGCAATTTCGATTACACTGTGAAGAGGTTAGAAATAATTTCTTGTAGTTTACATCTTAAACAGGGAACATCTCTACTAGAACACTCATTCTTCTATTTATTCATTCATTTAGCCCTGAGGATAGAGACAGAGAGACACCACAATCTCTGTTCTGGAGGAGAATTTAATCTAAGAGCTATATCTAAGAATGTGGGCTGAGTCAAGTTGTTATCAAAGGAAAGAACAGACTTGCTCATCTTTAGCCTCCAGAGAACCTGGCAGAGTTCTTTTTTGTTGTTCATGCTCAGTACATTTTTATTTTTAATTTTGAATTTTTAAAATACTATTTCATTTTCTATTTTGTGTTTTGGCTGTGTCCTGTGGCTTGTGGGATCTTAGTTCTCCGACTAAAAGTCGAACCCAGGCCCTCAGCGGTGAAAGCATGGAGCCCTAAATACTGGACTGCTAGGGAATTCCTTCAATACACTTTTTTGGAGGGATGAAAGCGATTTGTTTTCAGGTAGAAAAAGTGGGTTACATTGTCTTTGGAATTGCAAATAGTCAGATGCTTCATGCTGTGGAATAAACAGACATGAACTTTGATGACATTCCTTGGTCGAATTCGCCCACCCACATATCTGGGTATCTGGACCAAAACAAATGAGGCTTTGTGTTCACATCAAATATCAGAGTTTATAGTCTGAGAGGGGAGTCAGATACAGAAATAAAAGTCTGTTTCTCAGTGGTGAATGACAGCCCTGCACATTTCCCTGTGATCATATTGGCTCCCAGAGAATATTATAGCACTTGGCAATATGAACACAGACTTCAACCACTGTGGAGCTGTAAGGTATTTTGAAATTAGGTAGCAAAGAGAGAAAATAGTAACAACATTGTTTAAGATTGTCCATTTCTTCTGCTATTTATTTACTCTATTTATTTCTTATTTTGTGCCACATGCTTTTTTAAAGTCACAGTATTCTTATGCTTTTTCTCCCATAACATTTTAAGTGCTTTTATTCTGGTCATCTGCAGAACTGGGCTAAATATTATGATTCTCTCTTTACAGAGAAGAATACTGAAGCACGAAGTGTAAAGGGTCTTAGATAGTCATTGGCCAAGTGGTAACCCAGCTCTTGACTCTTGCTAGTGCCTTTTATTATCAAGCAGTGAAGGGCAAGAGGTAAGAATTGTTTAATTTCAAAAGAAAGAAAAAAAATTAGAGCAATGAGATTAATGGACTTGGATTAATGTGATAATACATCTCTGAGTTTGAGCACATACCCACCCACTTACCTGTGTCAACTCAAGAATGAAATGGAAACTCACTGTATTGTGTGGGCATGAGGATTGACTCAAAGACTGTGACAGGATATGTTAAGGCTGCAGCCTCGAAGCTCTGCAATGTTAAGGTCACATCCACATCCTTAAAGGCACCGTGATAACTGTGTCACTAGACTACTTGGAGCAGAAGATGTGACTTTATGGAACTTAGGTATTGGTGACATTTTAACCTTGGTATTTCATCATCGGATTTTTGCTGTTTTAATTTATCCCAGTAAAATCAGTAGGCGGAAGATAAAAGACTCCTACGCTTCAAGGCTGATTATATATATGTGTGCAAGTATTTTCAGATTCAACAGATAGGCAGCAGGGTTAAAGATTTTGTTTTAAACATTTACTTAGAGCTCTCTAAAGGAACTTTTGACTAGAGCTCCCATTTAATTCTATCATTTAAGAGTGATGACTGTTAATAACAAGATAAAATAAAAAACAGTATGAGAGGTTATCTGGCTTCCTGATCACTTGATTTTGTGTCATGCTGTGGGTGGTAACAGGAACCACATCATGGTAA